TTTTTGTTGTTATTCTGTCTCTCACTGTTCAAATAAACCTACCATTAAAATTATAGACTGATCATGTCTTTGTCAGTGGGCAAACGTACAAAATCAGCAGGGGATCAAATGCTTTTTTCCTTCACTGTACAGCCGTCTCCAGAGCTTTCCCAAATGACATCCTTTTCTCTATATAGTGCACTACTTTGACCAGGGCTCTATAGTGCAGTATATAGGTAATAGGGTGCCATTTGGGACGCATCCCAGGCCTCTCCAGCCATGATGATAAAGCAGTTTGACATTTACAATCAATACTGTAAGTCGTCTTTGAATATCAATGAGTGTAAAGTGTATCTATTATGGGTGCTAAACACACACAAACACAGACACACACGCCCGCACACACGCACACAGACATGCACATGCATGCACACACATGCACATAATCACACACACGCAGGAGGAATGTTGGATCAGGTAATGATTACTGGGAAAAGAGATTGTGTTTGGAGAACATGATTCAATACGGTCAATCTAAGCATCATAATAATGTTCTGTGCCTGGCCTGGGTGCATGTCTGTGTGTGTGTATGCGTGTGTATGATCATTTCGCTTAGTCTGTATCAAAACAACAGTCTTTGAATAACACTTCAACTTAATCAGCCTCCTCATTTTGACAAGCAGCATCTACATGTTCACTCATTGCAGATTCAAAACCCTATTTGTTCTCATACTTTCTATATTTCCCAACATCCACAAATAATTTCCCTCATTTCATTCAAATGTTTACCAGCCTTCCTCTATCATCACATGGCACAGCACAGTGACATGGAAGTGATTAACAGAATCACAGCTCTGACACTAATTGTTTTAGCTCTGTTTTACCTCTTATTCTTCAAGCGCCACATCCACACATTCACACACCACATCATTTATGCAGTGTGTGTGTGTGTGCAGAGATGGGCAGTATTTCTGTTACATGTATTTGAAATATGTATTTCAATTACTTCTGTGTATTTAGTAATTTGTATTACACTGTGCTGAATTACACTCCAATGTATTTTGTAACAAGATACCTTCCGAGAGCTGTAATTAGTATTTTCAAAATACAAAATATTTTTTTATAGCTGCTCACCATTTTGTGGCCCCTTTCACCCTGCATTGGTATTAGAAGTCTGATGGCACTATGGTGTGATAAGAGCGTCTGCTCATGAACTAAATATAAATGTACGTATATGTAAAAATGAACAATTGCAAAGCATGCTGAGCATTATTCAAATGAGCTCTGCCCCGAAATAGAGTCATTAATTAATACCCTGTGTGCTTTGCAATTCATTTTGGTTTGTTCATTTTCACATATACATTTACATTTGGTCATTTAACAGACACTCTTTTCCAGAGTGACTTACTATTTACAGTCAGTGCATTCAACTAAGGTAGATAAACAACAACACATCACAATCATAGCAAGTAAAAAAGTTTTGCCCTGGCTCTGGGGACTCTTATATGTTGAGCCAGGGTGTGGATTTTCTATGTGTCATTTTCTATGTTTTGTTCTAGTTCATGTATTTCTATGTTGGCGAGGGTGGTTCCCAATCAGAGGCAGCTGTTGCTTGTTGTCTCTGATTGGGGACCATACTTAGGCAGCCTGTTTGGCACTGTTCATTGTGGGATCTTGTTCTGACCCGGTTTGTTTTTAAGCTTACTTACATCCCAGGGTCCCAGAACGGTAAGGCCCTGTCCTGGCGGTATGACACAGAGGAGAGGTCCATTGAGCCCACTCCCATACTGCCGGAGTCTTGTCTGGTGGCACCGGTGGTGTGGGAGATCGATGCGGAAATCGAGCGGGCGTTACGCACCGACCCTACTCCTCCGGAGTGTCCAGTGGGGCGGACGTACGTGCCGTTCGAGATCCGTGATCGTCTCATATATTGGGCTCACACGTCACCCTCCTCTGGACATCCAGGTATTGGCCGGACAGTGCACTGCCTTAGTGTTAAGTACTGGTGGCCAACATTGGCTAGGGACGTGAGGGTTTATGTCTCCTCCTGCTCAGTGTGCGCTCAGTGTAAGGCGCCTAGACACCTGCCCAGGGGGAAGTTACAGCCCCTGCCCGTTCCACAACGGCCGTGGTCTCACCTCTCGGTAGACTTTGTCACTGACCTACCCCCCTCCCAGGGGAACACCACTATTCTGGTCGTTGTGGATCGGTTCTCTAAGGCCTGTCGTCTCATCCCAATGCCGGGTCTCCCTACTGCCCTACAGACCGCTGAGGCTTTGTTTACCCACGTCTTCCGGCACTACGTGGTTCCCGAGGATATAGTGTCCGATCGAGGTCCCCAATTCACCTCTAGAGTCTGGAGGGCGTTCATGGAATGTTTGGGGGTCTCGGTTAGCCTTACCTCGGGTTTTCAGCCTGAGAGTAATGGGCAGGTGGAGAGAGTGAACCAGGATGTGGGTAGGTTTCTGAGATCGTATTGCCAGGACCGGCAGGAGGAGTGGTCGGTGTATATCCCTTGGGCAGAGATTGCCCAGAACTCTCTTCGCCACTCCTCTACTAACCTGACCCCTTTCCAGTGTGTGTTAGGGTATCAGCCGGTTCTGGCACCATGGCATCAGAGCCAGATCGAGGCTCCTGCGGTGGTTGAGTGGTTTCGGCGCTCGGAGGAGACGTGGAATGCTGCACACGTCCATCTGCAGCGGGCTATCCGTAGACAGAAGATCCCACCTCGACTGGATCAAGCAGCGTGACGAGGAGAGAGGATGGACCTGGGAGGAGATGAGTGAGAGTCTGGCAAGAGGGATGGAGGCCATGAGCACGGGGGAGAGACAAGCCCCAAAAAAATTTAGGGGGGGGGCTCACGCCGTGGACGACGAGGCAGCAGGAGGCCGCGATAGAGCGGTTGAGCTGGTTAGCAGAGGAGGCCGCTAGGTTACGGGGGTCACTGGTCACGAGGGAGAAGGAGAGTGTGGAGGCACGGCGAGAGGAACTGAGTAGGCAGCAGAGGGAGCGGAGGTTTATGAGGAAACCCAGTCCCACTCCTCACACCAAGCAAGGGGTGTGTGTCACCAGTCCGGTCCGGCCCGTTCCTGATTCCCGCACAAGGCCAGTGGTGTGTGTTCCCAGTACGGTCAGGCCCGTTCCTGCTCCCCGCACTAAGCCTGTCGTGCGCGACGCCAGCCCGGTCCGGCCTGTTCCTGCTCCCTGCACCAAGCCAGTGGTGCGCGTCGTCAGCCCGGTCCGGCCCGTTCCTGCTCCCCGCACCAAGCCAGTGGTGCGCGTCGTCAGCCCGGTCCGGCCCGTTCCTGCTCCCCGCACCAAGCCAGTGGTGCGCGTCGCCAGCCCGGTCCGGCCCGTTCCTGCTCCCCGCACCAAACCAGTGGTGCGCGTCGCCAGCCCGGTCCGGCCCGTTCCTGCACCCCGCACCAAGCCAGTGGTGCGCGTCGCCAGCCCGGTCCGGCCCGTTCCTGCTCCCCGCACCAAGCCAGTGGTGCGCGTCGCCAGCCCGGTCCGGCCCGTCCCTGCTCCCCGCACCAAGCCAGTGGTGCGCGTCGTCAGTCCGGCACGGTCCGTGCCTGTTCTACCGGTGTCTGGTCCGGCACCGGTCAGCTGCTCCACACCGGAGCCAAAGCAATCCGCTCCACCGATGTCCAGTCCAGCTCCGGCCAGCGGGGCCAGACCAGACCGGGGGCGCTGCGGGGGGGTAGGGAGAGAGTGGTGGTCACGCCCGGAGCCGGATCCGCCTCCGAGGCGGAATGCCCACCCGGTCCCTACCCTCTTGTGTTTGGTTGGCGCGGTCGCAGTCCGCGCCTTTGGGGGGGGGGGGGTACTGTCACGCCCTTTCTATGTGTCATTTTCTATGTTTTGTTCTTGTTCATGTATTTCTATGTTGGCCAGGGTGGTTCCCAATCAGAGGCAGCTGTTGCTTGTTGTCTCTGATTGGGGACCATACTTAGGCAGACTGTTTGGCACTGTTCATTGTGGGATCTTGTTCCGTAAGGTTTGTTTTGGTGTATAACCTAGGACTTCACGTATTGTTTGTTGTTTTGTTTTGATCGTGTGTTAAGTACGTAATAAAGATGTACGGTTATCACGCTGCTCCTTGGTCCGCTTCATCTTATAACGATCGTGACATTCTGTTACTGAGAATGTTGTTGCTGTTCGGGCTGGTTGTGTGTGTTTTTGCCAGTGACATTAGTGCAAACGAAGTTGTGTTGTTTCTGATAACTATACCAACCAGAGTAATTGTGGAGCTGAACGTTCACCTCAACACAGCATTTGTTTACAGCCTAATTGGGGCATCCATACGAGTGTGTGTCAGCTGCCTGGCAACAGAGGGAGGAAAAATATAAGAGTGCAGTAAATGGGTGCTGGTATGACTCAGTGATGAGCTTTAATGAGGACCTCTCCCACTGTTTTACAGTGTCCCAGCTATTTTCCCTCTGTCTCTAAGATTGCGGAGGTGTTGCATCTGAAATATACCCTTGTCCAAACAGCAGTGGAAAATTCACTGAAATTCCACTGTGCAGAAAAGCTTTTCACATGACCTGGAAGTACAACTCTCCAAGTGCAGCCAACTCAAACCTGACCTCCAGCGCACAGCAGGTCAGAGGTTATACAGAGGTACTACCTTTTGTTTTGTCAAGCTTCCCAGATCCCTGCTGGGCTGAATATAACCTGCTAATCTATCGCCTAAAGCTGAGGTAAAAGGTAAGGCAATGTTCTCAAGTCACCCACACAAAAAGTGATAGACACACCGACACAAAGAGAGAGAGAGAGAGAGAGAGAGAGAGAGAGAGAGAGAGAGAGAGAGAGAGAGAGAGAGCGAGAGAGCGAGAGCGAGCCCTGTATATAAGCCTCTTGTTAAAGCCTTGGCTCTAGTCACTCAGATAGAAAATCCAGTCTTATTCACATGGGGAGGTGAGGCTTTAGACTTAAGCTATTATGATAGCTCATAGCTCCATTGTAAATCACTAGCTGACTGATGGAAAAGAGACCATTCATCCAAAATCATTCATTCATTAGAAACACACAGGCTCCACTTTTCTGCGCGTTTGTCTGTTTACTGTTATAAAAGCTGTTCCACTCACCCTCTCCGCCGACTGCGCTGTCCCGAAGAAGATCGGGATAAATGCCAGCCAGATTATGCAGGTAGTGTACATGGTAAATCCAATTGGCTTGGCCTCGTTGAAGGTCTCCGGCACTCCCCTGGTCTTGATGGCGTAAACAGTGCATGTGACCATCAGTAGGATGGAGTAGCCCAAGGAGCAGATCAGGGACAGGTCGGAGATGTCACACTTCAGCACGCCACGAGCCGCCGCCGGGTCCTGGGTCCGCTGCTCGCCGTAATCCACGAAGGTGTGCGGCGGGTCCACGGCGAACCACACAAACACCCCCAGGAGCTGCACCGAGATCAGGGAGAAGGTGATGACCAACTGGGAGGCGGGGGAGATGAACCGGGGGGCGCTGACGGACTTCTTCCCCTGCTCGAAGATGCGATGGATACGGTTGGTCTTGGTGAGGAGGGCCGCGTAGCTGAAGCACATCCCCAGACCCAGAAATATCCTCCGGAAGGAACACACGCCCACATCGGGCGCCGCGATCATCAGGAAGGTGATGGCATAACACAGGAAAATGCCCGTCAACAGCACGTAGCTCATCTCGCGGCCAGACGCCCTGACGATGGGTGTTTCGTTGTAGCGGACAAAGGTGACGACAACGAAGGTGGTGGTGATGATGCCTAGCATTGAGATGAAGACGGGGATGACGGCCCAGGGCGAGTGCCACTCCAGCTTGATGATGGGGATGTTCTGGCAGCCCGTTCGGTTGGCGTCGGGGCGCTGTTCGTAGGGGCACAGTTCACAGCTGAACTCGCTGGCCTGGAAGTGGTAGCCCTCGCAGCGCTCGCAGTGCCAGCAGCATGGCACACCCTTCACGATCTTCTTCCGCTCACCCATCCGGCAGGGCACGCTACACACAGACGCAGGGAGGGACGGGTCACCTGCCCGCCACTGCATGGCTTCTACCTGGGGTCATAAGGTCACAGGAAAGAGGAGAGACCAATCAGAGGACAGATAGGTTGGAACTCAATAATGGTTTTGGTTCTAGAATGTTTGTGATTCTAGACTGTTTCTGGCTAAGGAATGTGCTGACTAGAATAGTTTTGACTGTGTAATAGCCTTATTCAAAGCCTACTGTCGTTAAAATGTTTGTACCTGCATTAACATTTCCAAGTGCAACTCACAAAGTAATTAGCCAAAGCAGAACTTCTTATCATGTCCCTTGTGCTGCCTGCTAGGCATAAATCTAATAGCAATTAAACTGGTGTAATCAGAGCTGGCACAAATTGGCCATCTGCATCAGTCTGATGCAGTGTGTGTGTAATAAACTGTTTATAACACAGCCCAGGGTGATGGGAACGGAGCTCCTCTCTCTATCTCTGAACACGCACACAAAGTACTGATCCAGCAGAACTAGAGGAAACTGGCTGGCTGGGGATTCTGCTGAGAGCAGGAGAAATCTAGAACTAGAGTAAATTACCAATATTGGGTCAAACTACTCAGTCGTCAGAGGAGAAATGAAACCTGTCTGTATGTGTTGTTTCAGTTTTGTGTTTTATTTCCCTTTAGTACTATTATCTCGTCCAGTTTTTTGTGGTAAAGCGATAGCCGGCCATGCTTGAATTATGAACGCTCAAAAACACATTAAGCCTGGCCATGAACTTTTTGGCGTATAATTGATAATTATTACCTGATGAAAAAATACTTTAGGCCTCATTAAATGTATCCCATAAAGCATTATGAGCATGAAAGAAAAGCATGTCCAACGGCACAACTGAAGAAACAGTAACTTCCGCCACTTGGGTGAATCCTTTTTCAATTATTTGGATACCTATTTGTAACCTTGAATTCAAAACACTTGTTAAGGTGAAACAAAATGGATATGGAATAGGGCTATTCTGGCTCTAGTTCTCAGCAGCCAGCTGAGAGGGAATAGTATGCTGTTGCTGCCTCCCAGTCCAGCCAAGGTAAACAGATTGAAGAACAAAGAGAATGCACAAGTTCAGCATTTGAGCCTAACTTCCATTTTCCTCCCAGCCAAGTCTCCAGTCTACAAGTCTCCAGAGTCCAGCCAATATAGCTTCTACTGTCCAAACGTATTCGCTTATACCGGAAAGTCACACACACGCACACGGACGCACGACCAGAGCAGAAGGTTTTAAGATCCCTCAGAAAGTACAGCCCAACCGTGCCCAACCCTGTCTGTTCTAGGAGTCTATCTGTGTGAGAACACGCTGCTCGTTTACCAAGTCATAACTCCTCCTGTGGCCTGTGTGTGTGTGTGTGTGTGTGTGTGTGTGTGTGTGTGTGTGTGTGTGTGTGTGTGTATCCATCCCTCCCTCCGGTGTTCCAGTGTTTATGTGTGTGTGTGTGTGTGGTGTGTGTGCATGTCTGTGTGTGTGTGTGTGTGTGTGTGGGGGGGGGGGGGGGGGGGGGGGGGGACCAGATGTCCCCACAAGAATAGTAAACAAACAAAAATTTGACCAACTGGGGACATTTTGTTGGTCCCCACAAGGTCAAATGCTATTTCTAAGGGGTTTAGGTTTAAGGTTAGAATTAGTGTTAGGGTTAGAATTAGGTTTAGGGTTAGGGTTAGGAGCTACGGATAGTTTTAGGGTTAGGGTTAGGAGCTAGGGTTAAGGTTAGGTTTTTGGGTTAAGGTTAGGGTTAGGGTAAGAGTACGGGTTAGGGTTAGGTTTAGGGTTAGGGGTTAGGGAAAATAGGATTTTGAATGGGACTGAATTGTGTGTCCCCACAAGGTTAGCTGTACAATACTGTGTGTGTGTGTGTATTTCAATCAGTAACAGCTGAAAAACAAGTAGCTGCTCTTTGAAAGTCCAGCACTGAGCAGTAACTGTATGCGTGCAGGAACACATCAACTACTCTGACATACAGTATGGTCATAGGACAAAAACCACTGGGAAGAGATGGGACCCAAACATGACACAAAAACAAGTTTTGGATGATAACGAACTAATACTCTCCCGAGTGGCGCAGTGTTCTAAGGCACTGCATCGCAGTGCTAGCTGTGCCACTAGAGATCCTGGTTCAAATCCAGGCTCTGTCGTAGCCGGCCGTGACCGGGAGACCCATGGGGCGGCGCGCAGTCGTCCAGGGTAGGGGAGGGAATGGCTGGCATGGATGTAACTCAGTTGATAGAGAATGGTGTTTGCAACGCCAGGGTTGTGGGTTTGATTCCCACAGGGGGTATGAAAAAAATAATAAGAGCGTCTGTTAAATGACTAAAATGTAATAAAAATCTTAATCTTGAATAAATGCTGATATCTATACAATTTGCCTGATCTCAGAGCTGTTTGTGCTATCATGTCAAGTCGTTGTCATACATAGCCGGGACCAGGCTATGTATGAATGCCTCTGAATGTGACACTATACGACAACACTAGATCACAAAAGATAGTATTGCTATTACAGTTGAAGTCGGAAGTTTACATACACTTAGGTTGGAGTCATTAAAACTCATTTTTCAATCACTCCACACATTTCTTGTTAACAAACTATAGTTTTGGCAAGTCGGTTAGGATATCTACTTTGTGCATGACACAAGTAATTTTTCCAACAATTGTTCCACTTATAATTCACTGTATCACAATTCCAGTGGGTCAGAAGTTTACATACACTAAGTTGACTGAGCCGTTAAACAGCTTGGAAAATTCCAGAAAATGATGTCATGGCTTTAGAAGCTTCTGATAGGCTAATTGACATCATTTGAGTCAATTGGAGGTGTACCTGTAGATGTATTTCAAGGCCTACCTTCAAACTCAGTGCCTCTTTGCTTGACATCATGGGAAAATCCAAAGAAATCAGCCAAGACCTCAGAAAAAAGATTGTAGAACTCCACAAGTCTGGTTCATCCTTGGGAGAAATTTCCAAACGCCTGAAGGTACCACGTTCATCTGCACAAACAATAGTACGCAAGTATAAACACCAAGGGAACACGCAGCCGTCATACCGCTCAGGAAGGAGACGCGTTCTGTCTCCTAGAGATGAATGTACTTTGGTGCAAAATGTGCAAATCAATCCCAGAACAACAGCAAAGGACCTTGTGAAGATGCTGGAGGAAATAGGTACAAAAGTATCTATATCCACAACAACATAACCTGAAAGGCCGCTCAGCAAGGAAGAAGCCACTGCTCCAAAACCGCCATAAAAAAGCCAGACTACGGTTTGCAAATGCACATGGGGACAAAGATCGTACTTTTTGGAGAAATGTCCTCTGGTCTGATGAAACAAAAATAGAACTGTTTGGCCATAATGACCATCGTTATGTTTGGAGGAAAAAGGGGAATGCTTGCAAGCCGAAGAACACCATCCCAACCGTGAAGCACGGGGGTGGCAGCATCATGCTGTGGGGGTGCTTTGCTGCAAGAGGGACTGGTGCACTTCACAAAATAGATGGCATCTTGAGGAAGGAAAATGATGTGGATATATTGAAGTAACATCTCAAGACCACAGTCAGGAAGTTAAAGCTTGGTCGCAAATGGGTCTTCCAAATGGACAATGACCCCAAGCATACTTCCAAAGTTGTGGCAAAATGGCTTAAGGACAACAAAGTAAAGCTTTTGGAGTGGCCATCACAAAGCCCTGACCTCAATCCTATAGAACATTTGTGGGCAGAACTGAAAAAGCATGTGCGAGCAAGGAGGCCTACAAACCTGACTCAGTTACACGAGCTCTGTCAGGAGGAATGGGCCAAAATTTACCCAACTTATTGTGGGAAGCTTGTGGAAGGCTACCTGAAACGTTTGACCCAAGTTAAACAATTTAAAGGCAATGCTACCAAATACTAATGAGTGTATGTAAACGTCTGACCCACTGGGAATGTGATTAAATAAATAAAAGCTGAAATAAATCATTCTCTCTACTATTATTCTGACATTTCACATTCTTAAAATAAAGTGGTGATCCTAACTGACCTAAGACAGGGACTTTTTGCTAGGATTAAATGTCAGGAATTGTGAAAATCTGAGTTTAAATGTATTTGGCTAAGGTGTATGTAAACTTCCGATTTCAACTGTATGTTAGTCTCACATTAAGGTGTAGTTTGTTGGTCCAGGTGCCTATGACCCTGTACTCTCTGGTGGAGCGGTTGGTGCTCTGGTACTGGAAGATGTCGTAGCGTCCGGGGGCGTCGCCGTTCTCATTAAACACCACTGGAGTACCGGCACTTCCTGGAAGACAGAGAAGGTGAAGAATTAATAAGATGACACACTGTATATCATTCATCACACAGAAAGCTAATTTACCATACTGTAAGATTGTACAATATCATTGTAGTTCTGCATTTTCACAGAAACACACGATTTGGTCAAACACAAAATATTTTTGTTCTAAGTACTGTATGTTGTAAGTATGGTATAAGGTCTGTTTCTTACAAAGTGGGAATCTTTTTCAGAAGTTCACTGTCACCCTAACGAGCCGGGCTCAGATTTCACACATATTAATTATGCAGAAATTGTGTGCGCGTGCATCCGTGCGTGTGTGTGAGCGTGTGTGTGCGTACGTAAACAACCTCTACCTCCCCGGGTGCAAAGTGTCACAGATTGGCTTGCTTTCTCCATCGATTATGCTAAACTCACAGCCCTCTCTCTCTCTCTCTCTCTCTCTCTATCTTCTCTCTATCTACTATCTCTCCTCTCTCTCTCTCTCTCTCTATCTCTATCTCTCTCTCTCTCTCTCTCTCTCTCTCTCTCTCTCTCTCTCTCTCTCTCTCTCTCTCTCTCTCTCTCTCTCTCTCTCTCTCTGGTTCTTTCTCCTCTTATGAAGCGTTGAAATCCAATATTTCAGCATGGCAGCAGCGTGGGTGGAGAATCTGGCCATCAAAGCAGTAATGTAATTACAAATATACATCTTAAAAGAGCTGTTCATTACCAACATTCCTACAGAAAGCTGTTCGTCATGGCAACGGTGGATGTATCATATCTGATGGAACGAAAGGGAGAGTTGCCGGGAGAGACAAAGTGAGAAAGGGAGAGAGAGCGATACTAGGAGAATAAGAGAGAAAGGGAAAGTTGAGAGATCTCTATTTCAGAGGACTCTGGGTAAACCATTATCCCTCTATCTTTAATCTGCCTTCACACAGCCGCCTGGCCCGACGCTACTCACACACACAGACACGGACACGGACACAAACACACACAGCCCCGTCCGCCAAAATTCAAAGACACTAGACGCCGCCACTCGCCGCTTGCTCCTGTCTGCCTATCTGTTTGTCTGTCTCCTCCTGCCTTCCATAATTACAACAGAGAGAGAAGTGTCCAGACTGGTTGTTGACTCATTTGTCTAATTTTAGTCTTTGACAAAAATAAAATATATATCTGGCACCCAGGCTACAAGCTGTAATGGCTAGTAGTGCAACACAGCTCCCTATAAATCAGGACTACACAGGGCGTCATTGGGCTTTGGTCCAAAGTAGTGCACTACATAGGGAATAGGGTGCTATGTGAGATGCTGCCGCAGTAACACACACACACACAAACACACACACACACAAACACGTGAGTCCACTAAGATAGCCCTCTGGTTGATGCTACAGAGAAGCAGAACACTAATTCTGAAACTCGTCAGTCTATTCTTGTTCTGAGAAATGAAGGCTATTCCATGCGAGAAATTGCTGACCTTCTAGGCAGAGTTGCAAAGAAAAAGCCATATCTCAGACTGGGCAAAAAAAAGAAAAGATTAAGATGGGCAGTCTGAGATATGGCTTTTTCTTTGCAACTCTGCCTAGAAGGTCAGCCTCCCGGAGTCGCCTCTTCACTGTTGACGTTGAGCCCGTTTTATTGCTTCTTTAATCAGCACAACAGTTTTCAGCTGTGCTAACATAATTGCAAAAGGGTTTTCTAATGACCAATTAGCCTTTTAAAATGATAAACTTGGATTAGCAAACACAACGTGCCATTGGAACACAGGACTGATGGTTGCTGATAATGGGCCTCTGTACCCCTATGTAGATATTCCATAGCCATTTACAACATTAACAATGTCTACACTGTATTTCTGATCAATTTGATGTTATTTTAATGGGCAACAAAATTGCTTTCCTTTCGAAAACAAGGACATTTCTAAGTGACCCCAAACTTTTGAACGGTAGTGTAAATGCACGCAAACGCACACAGACACACACAAACACATCTTCACACTCACGTCCTCTCCGGAAACAGCCTGTCCCAAACCATATTAGCTACTCTGATGACGATTACTGGATACAACCAAGCTGACTAATATAATTGTTCAGTATGTGCCTTATAAGGGCAATTCGACCACAGCAGTACAAGTCAGTGAAGCATGGTTCCTCAGCCATTTCTGAAAGTAGTAACATGGAGATATCGACATTTAAATTTCACAGTATTCTGCACCGTTAACCATGACCTTCACTGTGTCAGTATAAGCGACAACATTTAATCTTCTTTACCACAACATACACACACACACACACACACACACACACAACAAACCTCAAACTCACCCCTCAGTGAGTAGCCCTAATAACCATTGAACTGGACGAGCCCCCTCCCCCCAGAGGCCATTTAATCAACACACAGTCTTCAGCTAGGTCCCAGCCATGTAACTGGATAAGTAAGAGCACGCTGAGGTATTCCTTTCACTCAGCAGACACAAACAGTCAAAAACCGCCAACTGATCTGTCTAGTGGTGGGCTATGGTGAGATGAGACCAAGGCTCAGAGCTGAAGTAGGGAGTAGGGTATTTCAGATCGAAGACTGGTGCTTGAACCTGATCTCCTCCATTCAGACATTAGGGCTTATGTTTGGTCTGAGATGAGGTTGGCTTTCTGCTGTGTAGTTTGTGGGTAGAGAGAATGGATTCTAGGTAAGTTATACTCCTACTAAAAGGCAGGGAGACAAATCCCTGAAGATACAGTTGCAAGGCATAGGTCTAGGATCAGCTTACTTTCTTCTAATCCTAACCTAAACCACTAAGGGGAGAAAGTCGAAACTGACCTAAGATCAGTATCTGCAGGCAACATCCTCCTAATCTGAGATATACACTGCATACCCTGCCAACAGCTCTTCCTTGTGGATCCCAGAGAGAGAGAGAGAGAGAGAGAGAGAGAGAGAGAGAGAGAGAGAGAGAGAGAGAGAAGGAGAGACGAGGGGAGAGAAGAGAGATAGAGAGAGAGAGGAGAGAGAGGAGAGAGCGAGAGAGACAGAGAGAGAGAGAGGAGAGAGAGAGAGAGAGAGAGAGAGAGTTTTAAACTGGGTAAAATCTCTGATGGGGGAGAATACAGGAAAGGAGAGAGGGACCGGCTGAACGAGCGTTGGAGGCTTCAAAAGTCTCCCCACTCCCCATCGTGACAGAAACAGAGAACAGTGAGTGTTTTGATAGGCCTGATGCAGAAACCACCCTGCAACCCAGATTAATAAAACATAACATAGAGGAAGGAGCTGAGAGGAGGAGAGAGAGTGGCTGCCAGCACCCAGCAGTGTGAGCCATACATCTATACTCCTAATGGGGGAGACAACACACACACGCAAGTACGCACAGAAGCATGCACGTAGTCACACACACAAATACAAAAATGCACTAAGACACACACACAGGCCCCCAGTAATGAGGACACATCTTCTCTCCGTCCTTCTTTTCATTATTCCTCCTATCCCTCTATCCCTCCATCCCACACTAAACGGTTACCTCAGGGGAGGCTTTACCTGGCAGATGAGGTAACTCAAAAAAAAATATTTTAGTCATTTAGCAGACGCTCTTATCAAGAGCGACTTACAGTTAGTGAGCGCATACATTTTTCATACTGGCCACCCGTGGGAATCGAACCCACAACCCTGGCGTTGCATGCGCCATGCTCTACCAACTGAGCTACAGGAGGGGTTAAGACATCTGTGTGATAATAATAACTCAACTCCCTCCTGCACCTAAACATTTACAGTTGATCCTCCCTTTTTCTCCTTCCTCTCTCTTGTCCTTTATCTCTCTTTTATCTCCTCTCTTTCTCTTGTCTTCATATGTATCTCTTCTTTATCCCCCTCGCTCCCACCCCCCTCTTCTCTCCTATAAGACACATGCATTAGCCTAACAATTCACTTGATTATGATCCATTACTTAAATGCTTCTGGCATATAGAAGCCTTTCTTCGCTGTACCCTAACCCTCCATCCACCCTGCAGTAATCATGTGGGTAGCAGTTCCATACAGTTAATATGGTGAAGGTGTCACGCCCTGGCTCTGGGGACACTGTTATGTTGAGCCAGGGTGTGTAATTCTATGTATTCTATTGCTATGTTGGGAGTTCTAGTTTGTATTTCTATGTTGGCCTGAGTGACTCCCAATCAGAGGCAACGAGTGTCAGCTGGTTGTCTCTGATTGGGAGCCATATTTAAACTGTCTATCTTTCCCTTTGTGTTTGTGGTTTCTTGTTCTTATTTGGTTTGTGTTCAACCGTAGACATCACGTTATCGTCTGTTGTTTTGATCGTGTGATCATTCTCGAAATAAATATGTTCACCTTCAACGCTGCGCATTGGTCCTCCTCCTTAGACGATCGTGACAGAAGAAACCACCAGAACTGGACCAAGCAGCCTAGTGAGGAGCAGAGAGGGTGGACTTGGGAACAGTGGAGGAAGAGCTTCGACTGGGTCAAGCCGAATGAGGAGCTGAATGGCGGAGATTGGAAGCAGAAGAGCGAGAGTTGGGCGAGAATTATAGAGGCCTGGCCCACGGGGAAGAGAGACTCCCAGAACATTTTTAGGGGGGGGCTCACGACGTCGGGGCAGCAGGAGGCCGCGATAGAGTGGCCCAGCGGGTTGCCAGAGGAGGCCGCCAGGTTACGGGGGCCACTGGTCGAAGAGGGGATGGTGGATGTAGAGGCACGGCGAGAGGTACTGGCGTGTGTTGCCAGTCCGGTCCGGCCTGTTCCTGATCCCCACGTAGGGCCAGTGGTGTGTGTTCCCAGTACGGTCCGGCCTGTTCCTGCCACTCGCACCAAGTCAGTGGTGCGCTTCGTCAGCCCGGCACGGCCCGTTCCTGCTCCCCGCACCAAGTCAGTGGTGCGCTTCGTCAGCCCGGTCCGGCCCGCTCCTGCTCCCCGCACCAAGTCAGTGGTGCGTTTCGTCAGCCCAGCTCGGCCCGTTCCTGCTCCACGCACCAAGTCAGTGGTGCGCTTCGTCAGCCCGGCTCGGCCCGTTCCTGCTCCCCGCACCAA